GAATCATTAAGCAATTTTAATAAAAACTAGCATAAAAATTGTGCCACCTGCGAGACATAAATTCTTTAATCTCTCATATCTAAGGTATAACACTGAAAAGAACTGCAACGAAGTGCAATGTTCAGAATATTACCATGACAAGTTTGGACACATCATACTTGCATTTACATCTGATAAAACATTTTGTTATATCCATCAGTAAGAAAATATCACATTAACTATAATCTTTCTAGTGTTCAGAGCAGACCAGTGCTCTTATGACAGCAATGTTGAAACAGTAGCACAGTGCACGCCAGGTACCTGCTACCAAGGTACAACACTTGACACAAATTATGCGCATGGTCAATGTAAAACCACATTTTGAAACCATCCTCTCTGATTTTACTGTCAGCCTGAAACTTTCTCTTTTATGAGAAGCTTCTGGCTTCACTTTACAAAAGCAGCATTAGTAGTTCTCTCTTGCACACTTTGCTTTACCACATTATCAAAGAAAAATAACAAATTGTTTGGAGTAATGGACTGGCCAAAAGCATTAGGGGAAACTAAACTGTCACATGAGAAGGAAGTTGTTATGTTTAGTGATCAGGATTCTGATTATCTAACAAATGAGAGAAAATTTAAACCTCTTCTTCAGATGCTCATGCTATGAACTGCTTTCAAACAAATTCAGAAAGTGCATTCCAAACCAGAATGCACATAATATCCTCATGTGTTCTTTGCAACATGCATCTGCCTTGTTCAATATTCCCACTTTGGCATCCAGATAACAGTACCTCAATGTCTACGTCACTTTCCTCATCTGCCAGTTTATCACTGCTTGTAGGTACAATTTGAGGCCATGCAGAACAGCACAACCACCTCATCAAATTTCAACCAAATCCATCCCAAGCTAAATCGACTGAACAGACGAACATGAACAGCCCATAATGCACTCTCACTGTGCACTTTGTGCAAAGAACACATAAAAACATGTTTAATAAAGAAAAACAACAGAATTTCCCTTGCTCAAATAATATTGTGCTTTGCATAACCAGAAGAAGTGTAATGTGTTTGAGAGGGCCAGAATATTTTATTTTTCAGATAAGTCCATCTACTCATCAACATATACCTGCGCCTAATACAGTAAAATAATGCCCCTTGGGCATACTTAACATATTGAAATGTATTACATACAAGGTGTTCAACTGACTTGACAGCATCAGAATACATGGAATTTAAATAATGTGGCAAAGAGCTAAATATACGAAGACCTCTAATCTAACACTGTCATGTTTGAAGAAAAAGTTGTTTGTGACAAACTTTCCTGATTAGTGTCATATATACAATCATTCTTTTATTAAGAAAGTTCTCACTTCCGATCAAACTGGCAATGTGGCAATGACTAAATTAAGGCTATGCTTTGTTTTAATAAGATATACAGGAGTGTTCAGTTCACTCAGCCTATCAAACTATAAACAGAACAGTGTGTTCCTAATGTAACTGTACATTTCAAAACCCTAAAATGTTTTGTACTTACAGATTAGTAACATTTTAAAATAGTAGTAGTAGTAATGAGATGATTTACTTCCCTGATCAATTGTTTCTTTAAGCATTTAAAATATTCTGACTTGCTGATTTAAATTTAACAGCAATATTAACTTAAGGCAGTCCCCCAGAAAGAAACCATCAACTTCTTATGAAATTTATTTACACGAGTCCTACTTCACTTTAGCACGTGCTTGCACTTCAATTGTCTGTTCTTCTTCATCCTGTGAAACTGGCTTTCCTCGAATATATACAGGCGGACTTGTTCCATTAACGACATCTTCTGTGATGTGGACACTCATCACATCGGAACCAGGGATTTCAAACATTGGATCAAGTAATAGTGTTTCCTGGAAACAATAAACATCCATATACTGTATTCACAAAAACTCATAAATAAAAAGTTTTCATGGCATATTTACATTAATGAGAGAAAATAAATTAATTTAATTTAATAGATGGCTTACGGAACCTCAAGGTTCTTTACCGAATTAACCAAAGCCCTCTACCGGTCCTGTCCTGGGCCAACAAAATTCAGCCGCCTTCTCCCATAGATCCTGCTTGATATTATCCTCCCATCTATGTCTAGGTCTCCCCCAGAGACAAAATAAAAATATGTATAATAATAAAAACAGGTAATGACAGTGGAAGAGTGTTTCATCCAATTACATTCCTGAGAAACAGATGCTCTGGAAAATATTTGGGGGGGGGAAAAGAAAAAAGTAACAGGAAATGCGGAAAAGTGCATAACGAGGAGTTTCAGAACCTGTCTTCTCAGTTAAAGGAAGATGGGAACAAGATACCTTACATGCTATTGCTTCATCTCTGTCCCTGTACCTCAAATGGCTGGCCAGCCACCAGTGTGTGTAATTTTAATGATCTACTAAGCTCAGAGATATCTTGTGTACAATCCAAATTTTCACTGCTGTGAAAAACTTTAATCTCAGTTGATGTAAATAAGGCTAAAATAATTTTTCAAGGGTCACCCATCACCTGCCTGTTCTATAATAGTAGCAAAATGAGCACAGGCTATAAAGGTCTTCATATAATTTCTGTATTAAAAAGTAATGCCATACCCAACACAATACAAAGTTTAAATGTGGAAGTAAAAACAAAATTACTGATAAATATCTTATGCCTGGTATCCTCCTTTTTGCCCAGTAGTCAATTTGAAACACATTAATTGAAGGAATTCAAATAAAAAAATAAAGAGACAGAGAGCAGACACTTGAGTAAAAGAGTAACTGTACCAAATTACTTACCATAATAGCTCGCAAACCACGCGCACCTGTCTTCCTTTCCATGGCAAGTCGTGCAATGGCCAATAACGATTCTGGCGAGAAAGTCAGATCAACCTGACAAACATACCACACAATATCAATTTTTATCAAGTGAAACAAAATCTCACTCTTTTATGTAAGCACTATCATTACAAGGACAAGAGAAACAGATGCAACCAAACTGGTTTATCTCCATATTTAGGTTTATCAATGATCTGTATGTAAAATGAAAACAAATTTTTGTATTTTGAAAATGTATTAATTTAATTTTAAAAAAACTATATGTAAACTTATTCATGACCATAAAATTTAACAAAATAACTCTCTGAAATTCACAGGAACAAAAAATACAGTGTGTAATAAACAGGCTGCCTTGATATTAATGGCACTGCTTCAGTAGCTCTGACTATACAGTGTCGAATGAGACGAAAGTGAATAATGAATTGGAAAGGATGTAGAAGGAAGCAGTTGTGGCCTAATTTTAGGTACTATCTCGGCATTTGTCTGAAGCGACTGAAGAAAAACACAAAAAACCTCAGTCAGGATAGCTGGTCTCTGGGTCAACATTTGAACCCAGGACCTCCCAAATATGAAGCAGGAGTGATAACCACTCAAAAATTATTAATGATGTTCTTGGATCAAACAACTTCATATGTTGGTATTTTACGCTTACTACATTGCATTTATAATCAAAAAACATTACATAAATTGTAGAAAAGTTAAGCTTTCGTGATGATAAGGTAAACGGCTAATATATTTTTGTAGAATAGTTTTAACTTTACTAATTTCTCAGCTACTTTTCTTTATCCTTACAAATCACTGGAGCAAGAAATCAGATACTTACTTTATCCATACCAAATAACATCTGGTATTGTGGTACCACTGCATTACGAGGTTCACTAAGTATCCGAACTAGAAGTTCTGTGTTCAAAGAATGGAATGGGACTAGAACTGGAAACCTACCCACAAATTCCTGCAACAGGCCACACATAGTACAAATAAATTTCTGTATCACACAGCTTCCTCCAATAGCAAAATCCAATATATCAAGCACGATGAATCTTGAACAAGGACAGTACATCCAAGGCATCAAAAGACTGACAAGGGATCATTTCTGCTTCTGAACAGAAGCAGAACTTACTGGAATCATGCCAAATTCTATGAGATCCCTAGCTTCAACTTGTTTTAGATACACATCCTTCTCTGCATTATCCTCTTCAGCTGATGTGACTGCACTCTGGTGAGCCTGGTCTGCTAGTGATGCAGCACGCCGACCAGGTGACTCACTGGCAGGTACACCAAATCCAAGGTACTGCAACGAAGAACTCTAATGCTCAGGCAAGTACAATTTAATTCAACATACAGCTCACACAACAGGACACTAAAATTTACCAGGATAGCCAGCACAATTAACGTAATATAACTGGACATCTCATTCCGAGTGTCTCAAAGTAATGAGTTATCTCGATTGTAAGATTAATATTTTACGAACTGTGTGACAATATTAATAATTAATTAAATGCTTACTTTCTCATTTTTTCTCCGGCTGATAAGTCTGTCCAGGCCATTGTAAGCTCCTGAAGCCACAAATAAAATATTTGTTGTATCAATTTGAACAGTTTCTCCGCGTAGTTTGCGAGGGGAGTTTCTCTCTGGCACATTTACAATAGTTCCCTCCAGCATCTGTTAACATAACTGCACATTACTACAGTATTCATAATAATTTAAATGTTTCAAATTAGCACTAATTTATAGTCTAAAACTATGAAGCGTGGTTTAGAATGTAACAGAACAAAAATAATTCTGCCAGATCACATACATATGAGGACCCCAAGTTGTGTACCATTTTTGAGGGCTACCGCGTCTGCCCTCGTGACAATGAGACAAAATTCTACTTCATAAATCAGATTCTATGTATGAGCACACATAACTAGTGTTAGAATTTCAGTATAATACAAAAGTCCTTTAAAGTAATCCATAGTAATGTGTAACAGAAGAACTGAATGTGATGAAAGGATGATTATTCACAGTGACATAGAAAGAATGAGGGAGCAAATGATCGTCGTCTGTTTCAATGTATCACCTCGACATTCATCTGGAGTGACAGAGAAAATACCAAAGTAATGCCTCTACATATCATTTTACAAATAAGTGTCATGCGTGGTGAGACCTCACAATATTTATAATCTATAAAAGAAGATGAAACTTGCGTTATAATGATGCAAGAAACTAATGTACTCATAATTCAAAAGTCACAAAATTCTTTGAAGGCATAACTTGGCTTCTGGTGCCAAAAACTCATCCCATGCATCACTGTAAATTATTTTGACATCTTGAATCACTGAATCAGGCTGTAAGTACAGTGCCAAGCTCTTTGCTCTCTCAATACCTACCTATTCACTCATCTTAGTACATTTTACAAGTCTTTTATAACATGAAACAATATGAACGTTTAACATTTTATGTTTAGAATCTTGCAATACTAATTTACAATATATCAGGTGTTTCTTATCCACCACGTATTTGAATACTTCCTGATAATGACATATATTTAATTTCTGGCCCAATTTTACACACCTTGAGCATTCCCTGCTGCACACCCTCACCTCCAACATCTCTCAGTTGATGAATTCCTGGCACAGCTCCAATCTTGTCCACCTCATCCAGGAAAACAATTCCTGTCATAAGAAACAAGACACATTTTACATATACTGCATGGCAGGTAATTCAACTCCTCTAAATATGGGGTAGGGGTAAACACACAGAATCTTATCCCAAATTTCTATTTATATGTGATCATATAATTGATTATACCATCATTTCAGGTACTAGCCATGTTTCAATTTAAATGATTGTGAAATTTCACAAATTGTTATCAGCTGTGACAGTAGAATAACAAATATAAGAAAGTAAGGGCACTGTTCGCTGAATTAATCATATTTTTCAACAATTAAGTAAATTCTTAAAACACTATAACAGAAGTTCATTTGCTGCAAAGCTAAATATTCACAGGTATTACTCTGCATCAACTCAAATAGGTTTTCTTTCTATTTCAATGAACATTCAACACTTCCAGAAATGTTTGAAATAAACATTATAGACCTTAACAAGATTTAGTTTTTGTTACACACTGATATATACTTTCGGTTTAATAAAAGAGGAAGGTTTATATTGGAATGATATGAACCAAAATTAAATTTTCTGTAGACACAAAACATAAAATTTCACACACAAATATTTTGCAGTTTCAGAGATGAAATAAACAGATGGACACAACCACTTAATTAGTGAAATAATTTCATATGTATTTTGTATAAATAACACATAATTTCCCTTATTATTACCTTTCAGAAAATAGTTACCAAAAATTATAAAAAAATTACCAGGCACCATATTACACATACCCATCTGTGCTCTTTCAACACTGTAGTTAGCGTCCTGAAGCAACTTTGCAATAACACTCTCAATATCCTCGCCCACGTAGCCTGCCTGAGTTAGAGTCGTGCAGTCACATATTGCAAATGGCACATCCAGACACTGTGCTATTGTTTGTGCTAGAAGTGTCTTCCCTGTAGAATTAATATTTTGAATTAAAAATTGTAACATACTTCACAATATAATTTTACGATAAATGTATCACCTGAGAGGATTTTAAAACATTCATTCACTGTGAAAGTTCCAAATCTTAAGCGGCCCATCCACGTACGAGTCTGACTTGCGAGTCTGGATCGGCGAGCTTGACTCGTGAGCCGGGTTGGGATATATTTCGCCACACATGCATAGCAGACTCGGCTCATGACACCCCACCCACAAACGAGTTTGGCTCAATGGAACCCGAGCCGAGCCGGACTCACAAGCCAGACTTGTACGTGGATGAGCCGCTTTACACATTACAATGTACTTTGAAGGTCTATTACATATAATAAAAACATACAGATAATTTTATGTAAAAATTTACATTTTAACTATAAGTAACCCTGCCAAGATCATTTACTTTTTGTATCCAAAACACAACATTTAATACACTAAAGTGATGGCGGCTACAAACCTGAACCCGTGGGTCCCAACAAGAGAATGTTGCTCTTCTCTAACTTCAGTTCATGGCTGTTAGAATCCAGAATGTCACTTCCCATCGTGCTTGACGCTGCTGGCCGCCGAGGCTCTGGTTCAGGGGGTGGTGTATGCTGAAACCCCACACCAAGACCTGATGCACCATGCCCAATCCCTGTTATGTGCAGCAGGTCTGCAAGTACATAATGTGATAGCCACTGGGGCACAGAAGTGGAGAGAATAGCGTACAATAGAAAACCTACATAGAACAGAATTATGAGGGACCTGAACATTCCGATTCCAGACAGCTTTCAGTTTAATACCTACTTCTTGATAAATAAATTATGAATGGTACATTTTGAAGTGATGCTGAGTCAGAAATTCTTTTGAAATGTGTATCTCAGAATGGATGCGCACATGCATACTGAACACTTCCACCTAAAGGTTAAGAAAATGTCCTTGGTTGCACAGTAATTTCCATCCTATATTCTTGCTAGTAAAATTTTCCAATAAAGGCAGGTAACCATTTTACAAACGTTATGATTCAAGGATAAAGACTGGAATCATCTCGATTCAGCATCCAATCCTGAGAATAAGGTAATGAACCCCAGGGTTCAATAAAAAGCAAAGAATGTGCTGATTAGCTGAATGGCTCTTAGCTCTTCAAGACAATAAAGCTTCATATGCATAATAATAAGCCCAATTTGGCCATCTCTAAAGCCCTACCTCTATGAGTGAATGAATGTTGAGGTCCTTGCTCCATGACTGCCATGTCCTGCCTGTGACTGCTGTTACTTTGCTGCTGCTGTGGTATATTATTGTATATTCTCTTGTAGTGGTTGTACACAGCCACAGACAAAACTTTCTTGGCATGTTCTTGCCCTACAACATGCTTATTCAGGTACTCAAATATCTGCAAGCAGTGACATTTCAAAGTTCAGATAACTGAACGTATCTACTGTATAAGACAACTTTCAAGAAACCACATAATTTGTGCTGAGAATAATATTTCCACTTGTCTAGAAGTAACAGGAGGATGGAATAAATGACATAATCATTGTCATAATTTGTATGTTTCATAAAAACAATTATTTGGGTAATCAAATCAAGGAAATGGAAAATTCCTTGATCGGCTGAGCACCTATCAGCTTTTCAAGGACTCCACTTATACAGACAGTAAGTTAAACAAGTCACAATTAACAAACTCCTGCAAGGTCATCCAGTGAAATTTTTGCTGAGGCAAGCCTCAGTATAATTCTTGAATTCTTAAATAAGCACTGGAACCTCAACACCAGGAATCACAATGCATCAAAATATGATTGAGAAAAGCCACATGTTTAGCATATCATATACCTTTTTAGGAGGTGGTGGGGGTTTTCTGAAGAATCCACTTTTTTGGTCCTCACGACCTTCCTTTAAACTTTTCTTGGTGTCCACTTCTGACAGAACCACAAAGAAATGATGACATTTTTCACATTTTACGAACCGTGTTGAAGCTACAAACACATAAAACCATTTTATGTAATCTGCTGAGTGTAACTGAAGTCAGAAAACTCATGAATGACAGATATTTTAAAATAGATGCTTCAGTACGATAACACAATAAAAATAGCCACTTACGCTTTCCTGTAAATAAGTACCACATTTTAGGAAGATGGCTGTTTTCTGGGCTGTAACACTGTGTAGACTGGTATAAGTTTACCAATGTTTCAGAGGTCCTAGTTGCCGCCATCATCACGGCAATGGAGACAGCAAGGATCTCTGAAATGATTGTCAAATTCTACCAGTCTACACAGTATTACAGCCCAGAAGACAGCCATCTTCATACTCACTGCTATGAACACCTCAAATCGTACTTAGAACCACATTTTATTTGCACCATGCAAATAGCCTCCCACTGTATCTTATTTTATAAAACACAGCTCAATCAGTGAAGTGACCATGGTCAGGAACTGAATCCTATCAGGGACAGAAATCTTTCTCTTTACTGCCATGTCCAAACTGGCTCTGAGGCACACCCAGCTTCCATTTAACGGACAACACAAGCTTTTTCCTGCGGATAACACGCACTGATGAGCATTAAGATGACCACTGACCCCCATCAACTGCTGAGGTCTGCACTGTGAGAAGCTTAACTTCACACACCTGGATGCCTCCATAATATGGTGCTTAGCTACCAGGACAACTTTAGTGTTATGTAACAAAGTCAGTTACTGCCTGTATACTGAGTTAAACCAGCTCTTATAAATTAATTATATTTGTAATGTATTTGCAATTTAACTGAATAATTCTAGAACTCTGTTGTTCAGACTTTGTTTCTCTCTGTTGTTACATGTTCTTCATACACTAGCATGAGCAAAGATCACCTAATGAGCTTATCCATGGCTGCCTGTTGCATTTTTATAACAATGAAACTTGAGGTCCCTGGCTGGAACTTTCTCAACAAAGGGATCCAGGGGTTCCCACTGTTAGAACACAATAAGCAACAATGACCTGGGGTCACATTACTGCACTAATGATCTGAGGCAAGTAAATGGCCTTGAATCTAATTGGTGCACGAATGGCACAAGACACAAAATGCTACCACAACACATTAGTGCAACAATAACCTATGTGATGTGGCATGAGGAACACTTATGTCAGTGTACTCCAAAGAGCACACCTATTAAATACTGTCTTAATTCTTGCCTCAAACTTTATAAACTGGTATACCTACTTTTTCTATTATTATTGAATTCTGACATTACACACACTATAAATACTTACATACAAATGTCTCTACATGTGTACAAGGATCACCACATTTAGGGCATGTCAGATGATTTCCACCATCTTTGCCTGTTCCTTTGTTAGAACTCCCCTTCTTTCCACCTCCTTCAACCTTTACACTACCACCATCTGAGTCACTACCAGGAGAATTTGTTACAACCTTAAACAATGATGAGGTTGTCACCAAACCACGTCGAACAAATGGGTTTGAGCCAGTGCGGAACACATAGCACAAAATCCCTGCAAAATTAAAGTTACATTATATTTACAGCAGTACCAAAGCAATCAACAGTTTCTCCAGTCACCTGATATCAAGAATTTACAGTTTTCCATTTGTATCCAACTCACAATGGCAACTTTTTGCAAGACTATCTAGTGCATCTACATCAATTTAGGAACAGACAACTTAATTCAGCACTAATGAGTGTTACCAGTGACCACAGTTTAAAATTTTCCATAAGGCCTTGGTCTTGCCAACAACAATATTTTTCAGAAACATAATTCATAGTAAGTCCACTACACCTTTCATTTGCTGAAACCCTGGCTCTCTTCATTAATTAATTCCTGCATCACTTTGTATGGTTTCTAACACATCTACGATTGACATTCCTTTTAGTGTGCATTTCAGTTTGGAGTTTATAAAAAAGTCACTCACTGCCAAATCCTTAATGAAGGAACTTACCACGATAAATACTGGAACTATGCACATTTATTAGCTTCCCAGTAGAAACAAAGGCATACCTCACACTGCCCATGGCTATAAATTTCACTTATGTATTATCAGATGCGAGTGACTTGCCTAAAAAGAAAATAATTATTACGACAAAGGAAATAATTTACTTAAAAAACTAACACTATGTCATTTGAAACATCCAGTTTTATGTTAAACAAACTTTCATTTGTTCACACCCAGATAATTTGTCTTGTCTGAGGGCAAATTAGCACTCTGCTATTTTATTTATTACAATGGTCTTTGTGTTTACTTATTGCAGATACAAATCTATTGCTTAAATTCTAATTTCGATCAAAATCATAAATTACTTTACATCAACATAATAGAAAGTGTAGATCTAAAGTCTAGTACTAAACCACAAATGAACACCCACTAGAATCAAACATAATTTGGCATGACATAATGTTTACAAACATACCAAACCTACCTGTATGTAAACAGTACGAAGTGCCAAAAGTTGTGTACGCACTATGCACAATCGGGATTACGCATTATTTCTCTCTGCCAGAAGGTGCACCGTTAAATCACACATAACAAATTATTTTCGTGCAACGAACATGACAGGTTCCTTATGATGGCGCATTGTTGTTCATGCAAAATCAACACTCAGTTAGCAGATAATATTAATGGCGAGACAAAAACTAGTATTTGAATAACATAGGTTAAGACCTTGAATTGGGCTTTGGAACACATGACGTCACAAAAAATGTAACTATGTTAATTACGTACGCACACAATTTTTGACCGTAGTTAAAATATTAGTTTTGCTTATCGTGTATTCAGTAATTCACTACCAAATGAACACACTTTCTTACTGACTCGTGCAAATTTTGATAGAAAACAACAAAAAAATCATACCACTTCTCATATCAGACTTCTCGCTGTTTGAAATACTTCTGCTAGAGGTCAGCATCCATTGACACAACTTGCGACATCTTGGTAACAGTAAACGACTGCCAACATCCAAAATGAAAAATACTATTTCTATACATCAAAAGTGCGAGTGCCATATGAGTCAGAATGGTGTGGTTCTTGACCTTACAGGTGTAAGGGTGGGGATGGATCGATGATGACCTCAATTCAAGAAAATTAATATAATAAATCTTGGATGTGAATTTCATGTAACAAAAAACATCATGAGATTTGCAGTATAAACCTCAAGTAAACCGGCCAGCAACAAGGTCTTACTTTCACGCTTAAGAGTGCAAAATCAAGACCATGACCTACTTCACGCTCAAGCGTGTAAAACCAAGATCACGACCTATGTTGGCAGTATCTGTTGTCACGACAATTACGGACATACGATTACTTACCAACAAAAAGAACCGTAACTCAATGCTGTACGTTGGCAACACACGACTATATTATTCTGCACTCTAAACTGCAATAATGAACTACAATGATTTGGCGGTTGCACCTACTGCCTTATCGATAACAGGGTTAACTACAATCCAACTTGTCCATATACTCATTCACATGGATGAACTTACCTTTTCCTTTCCCAGTGCAGAAGCTATTGGACAATGAAAATAACTGTAATAAAATGGCCTTCCAGTCAATTGGTGTCATTTAACGTTTACACAAACTTCATTACAACAGGCCCTTATACTCTGCATGTGGAGTTACAGGTCAGCAGCAGCTCATGGTTTTAGGTGTTATTTATCACTAGATTTCAGGCAGCCAACTTGCTACTGTATGAATTAGACTAACCTTTAGTTTCTTCATTCCTTGGATGAAAATGCATTTCTTTACTTCTGCTTATGATAAGTAGCTTTTTGGCTATAACTGGAAACAATCATTAGGGTTAAAAAAGGAATGTCATAATATAGTTACAAAAATATTCAGTCAGGGAATAAAATAAGTTTTCTTCCAAATCACTTAAAATAGTAATTCAGTTATAGTAAAATATTACGTAGGTGGTGTCTAGAAAGCGTAATGCACACCTCAGCATTTCAAGAACATGATACAAACAACTGTGCCACATATGGCTGCACAAGCATGTAAACAATAGAAAAACACATTGCATTAGGTAATATTTACATAAGTGTACTAATTGTATTTGAATCAATTTTGACTTCTTCACAACAGCTATAAAAATGCCTAGCATTAGAGAACTCTGTTAAGTATAAAGATAATCTTCAGCAACACCTAAATAAATGTATGATATTTGAGGCTTTCATAGCTATGAAACTGTGGTCTTTTAAATTGTGATACTGTGTGGTGGTTCCCATCAACAAGAATATACAATGTCACAACCAAGAGGACAACAATATACATCCAGAAAATCAGTACATGACTCACAGAGTTCTGTTAGGGTATTTGAGGCACATCCTAACAAATTGTATTCAGGAAACAGCAAGAAACATATTACTTCTAGTTTGTGATGTATTATTCTTAACAGATTTTAAAACAAAATAAACAATGTTAAATGTAAATAATCTAAAAATCACATGTTGCAAAAACTAGTTACCTTATATACCATTCACAATTTTATCCAGAATTGAATACAGATACCACTGATAAGGTTATATGATCATAGGTAATAAGAAAGTCAAAGCAGCTTCAAACAGTGAAATCTTTTCAATGGTACATGTTTAACCTTTCTCCACTCCCAATATCACCATCACATATGATATAATAAATTACATTTATTCCATTATAATGGATATCAGATTCAGGAGCCATATGGGAAGTCAGTCACATTATACAAATAAGGGAACCACTTTTGTTAAAATATTTCTTCAAAGTTTATCTACAAACCTTAGCCAAATCACTGTAATATTTACAATAATATACCATCTATGGCATCTGGAAAACAATTTTTAACAGCTTTGAAGCTTCATACTTATTTTATTTCCTCCGCCATTGTTCAAAATTTTACATAATCCACCGAACTGTCTAAAACCTTCCAACTTTCACATATGCCTTACAAATATTTTGTATAGAAAAATCTTTGTCTTTAGAACCTCGTTTTAGAATTTGTTTGCAAGGATAATTGCTGATGATGTTTGACTGAACAGCTTAAATAGTTTTATACTCTTAAAAGATTGTGTTGCTGTCAGTAAAATGACAATACTGTGTAATACTACAAATTATGACTGCAACAACAATACCTAAAATACTGAATGCAAAAATGGTTAGATAATATTTTCCCATTACTGACCCCATTAGCAGGAAAATGAAAACTTATCTTACTATTTGTATATACCTCATACATAGAGAACACAGAAATAACGGCAAAAGTTCTCCAGGATGTCTGGTGTTTCCATCATTTGCTATCAGACATGAAAAACTGAGGCATTATATATAACACTGCCACCATTCAAACAAGGAAGAAATTTTGGTCCATAACTGTTGAAATCAAAATATAAACTATGAAAGTGCATGAAGATGACAATTGTAGTCCTTTAATGTCAAAAACCCATGTTATAATTTTGTTTTTAAGTTCAAAGTCTACTCTCCTGCTTTGTATAAAATAGTGATGTGGAACTACTCAATTAGGTGGCATGCAGTGCTCTGAACCACTCTCTTATATTCATTCCTTGTCCCTTTCAGGATATTTTAATTACAATACTTTAGCCAATTATTCTTGAAGATTTCTGTCTTCTGGGTTGTTGCGCTGTGTAGTCTGGTCGATGTTAACCAACGTTTCAGAGGTAGTATGACCTCTGAAACGTTGGTTAACATCTACCAGACTACACAGCGCAACAACCCAGAGGTCATACTACCTCTGAAACGTTGGTTAACATCGACCAGACTACACAGCGCAACAACCCAGAAGACAGAAATCTTCAAGAATAATTGGCTAAAGTATTGTAATTAAAATATCCTGAAAGGGACAAGGAATGAATATAAGAGAGTGGTTCAGAGCACTGCATGCCACCTAATTGAGTAGTTCCACATCACTATTTTATACAAAGCAGGAGAGTAGACTATTCTTATTCAAACGGTCTGTTACTGAATAACTCAGTATGCTGACTTCATGTAACAAGATTTTTGGACTGTAAAATTCAGCAAAGAAAATCTCAGATTTTGTGTCACTTTTGATATTCTTTCTTGTAACACCATGCAGACTTGACTGAACTAAAACACTGGCATCTATCCACAAGCCAATATGGTGTTGCAACCCAGAAGACCAACATGACATACACTGCTGTGAGGATTTCAAATCTTATAAGATATCAGTTTTAATTATACATTACAGGCCTAGAATTATATAATATTTGTGTTTCCTTTTCTCTGATATAATACCATGGCACAGTTTTTCAAGGAATCCTATGGGATCAGAAAAAAGAAATAATATGAATTTAATTTCATAGAGCCTGAATTGTTTACATTAACATCATGCACAACATATGTTCCAAAGTATAATTATGTATCTCCTTTACATTTACAACTGAAAAAAAGGTCTTTACAACTCTTTCAAGCACTGTTTTTTTACATTTATTTATTTTAAATTTGGAAATCACATGTACAAAACTGCAATGCATCTTCAATTACTAAGCCATATTCACTGTACAACCATTAGCATCACTAATACTCTTAGAAGTTCAGTCATAGAGACTAGAAAGTTAGGAAATGAGCTGGTCTAAAGCTTTGTCCCTATCATTACCAAAACTTATAAGTGCATCTGACACGAGATCTTCTGGGAAACCTAGGTCCAAAAGTTGGGCCATTGTATCAAGATATTTAACAGCATGAGTAATATTGTATCTGTTCAAAACAAGGGCTTTTTCCACTTGGTCACTTGGATAATTCTTCTCCTCCAAAGACTGAACTTGAAGTAAAAACTCCACTATCTGCAATTAAAAGAAACAAAAGATATATCATCTGTTTCGATCACAAAGTCATTTTTTACCATAAAAGTCCTCTGATTGGACTCACTTTCTTGTCATCCTCGCCCAACATCTGGCATGCCCTTGCTACACGGGGCAGAGAAAATCCCATCTCACTGATGTGTTTCACTAGATTCTGGGCTGCTGGATTCAGATCCCGGAATGGATTTAGCAGAGTTGATTTTAGCATGCGTTTACTAGCCGAGTGCCTTGGAATTGATGGTGATCGTTCTTTTGTTTCAGACTGTGGCCGGTCAGGACTGTCCAAGTCAGGCCATGGCTTCCAGTTCTAAATAAGAGAGACACAATTATTAACCGCATTTCTTCTGTTACCCACATATAATTATCAACAGTAACACACCCATTTACACAAAGATTCTTGCCCATTTTCCAGCATATCAAATGTAGAAGGATTACCCAGGATGACTTTGAACTCTGTTCTGCTTGGAATATACAACATAAAGCCATATAAAATAAAATTTTAGTTTAAAAAATGGTGATCTTCAAATTATTTATGATGTAAAAATAATATGTATGGAGCATAAACAGCATGGAGAATGGAAACTCAGCTTCTAGGCAAAAACACAAGATATTTTCCTGCATTTGTAAATGTTGTTCCTTAGCAATGTTGCAAGTGATCAGTTACACATATGGCAACTGTGTGAAAGCATATGGACATGGATACAGAAGCAAGACATGCTTTCACAGATTCACAAAATGATGAACAGGAGATTACTGTCCAAGGCAACAACTTGATTTTGAACTTAAAAGCAAGACTAATCACATTTCTTACCTCAAGTCCTGTAGACCCGAAGCTGCTAGGTCTTGGAGGTGGTGTGTGACTTGATCGACCCACACATGAATTACTTTCTTTTGCATGTTTATTTTTCAATTCTTTCTCCAGTTCTTGGACAATGTCTGGAACACTCTTGGACAAGGATCTCCCAGGGGAATGTAGGTCCTGATTGGAGTTATATGTGGACGGAAAGGACGCACCATAAGTCAATGGTGGATGATGAACTGATGAAGTGAAAGTTGAAGAGACAGATCTTTCGGCCATGATAGCTTCTTGAACTGCTGCTGAACACGTCACAGATGGCCGTGGAACTACTGCTGAGTTTTCAGAAGTTACAATACAGTCAGTTTGTTTACTAGGATCTAAGGAATAGCTGATTCCTGCACGACCAGTATTCGTACTCGCTGCCCATGTCCGTCCAGGATAATAACAATATGAACTTTCAGATTTCAATGGCATTCCAGCTATGGAATAATCATATGGATGAGACACCACAGTTATATAACTGTCATTTCTGATACCTTGTCCTTTTAGCCGAGGACCGGTTCCACAGAGACCATATCCAGTTATACCATTTATGTGAGTATGTGCTGCTGCTGGCCCTTTCTTTAGCTTTGAATCAAAAGTATTGCAAAGTGCCACCTGATCTACATTATAAACAGCTACTGAGGAAGCATAACAGTTCCCCAAAGCTACTTCCAAGTCAGGTGGTTTCTGTTTCAACTGACTGGAAGAATTTGACAAAGGTTGTAGGACATGAGCTAATTCCTCCATTTCATTTATTGTCTTAAGTTCCATGTTATCAAATGGACTTGAGGTGTCAGCTTCAAAATCAGAGAAGTTAAAATTATCAGATACTTTGCTAGAACATGTATCAACAGAGGATACTGTAATTGGAACAGGTGTTAAGATGGAATACTGAGGAACTGATGTGGAAATAGGGTTAGAATATGAAACCGCTTGAATAGCAGGAGATACAGATAAGGTAGTGTGGGAGACTGGGTTGGCGAAGGAAGGTGGTGGTTCAGCATATGAAACATTTCCATCTGTGGAAATGGCATAGGAATCACCAGACAACTCCACAGTGAAGGAAGAAGGTGCAGGACTCATGCTGGGGTCTGAGGAGACCACCCCTGTTTCCTGAGGTTTAGATGTTGCTCTCTCCTGAGTCTTGATTCTCTCCATCCTATTCTCAATGCCTGTCTTCCGCAATTTTCGCCATTCCCCCATTTTCTGTAGTACACTGTGCTCCAGCTTGAACTCATACTACAACATGAAGAAAGCACCCACATATATCAGCAATTTGAAATGGAGTTCTAAGGACAACTGTAATGCACTAATATACTATGCTTATCATATCATGTTATTATTAAAAGAAAAAAACAAACCTAAATGCACACTCAATTAAGACAGCCTATCTTTGGGATGAGATTCAGTACCAGGACCTCATAAACATAAAGCTGCTAACCACTCAAGTGCAATGTTCAGTAGAGGGAACAATGCAAATGGGAGAAGGAATATCTCACCTCTTCTGTAACAGTTTCAACAGACATCCTATGTTGGTAGCTAACTGGTAATGCAACCTTCCTTGGTGGTTTATACTGTTCAACAATTTTGACAGGAACTCCATCCATGTACGAAAATGCTGTAAAACAACAGAAATAGGTTTACTATTAATCACACTACCTGCAATGTTATGCACTCCTTTTGAATGAGCAATTTCTTTTATATATGAGAATTCAAAATGGATTTCTTGTATTACAGATCGGTTACAATGCAACAATGTATAGACTCCAGTACAAAAGAAATTCTGTATGCATTCACCAGATGCTGTGATTAAATGAACATAACCATGCTTATCAAAAAATCAAAAGTTTTCAAGTTATCATCTAACTCTGACCTCACCTTGCTTCTCTGATTCATGACCATACCGAGACATACTGACACTTCACAGCTGTCTTTGTGATCACCTGGAAATAAAATATTGACAAGATATTCTGAAATAGATACAAAACACACTAATATTAAACTAACTCAATCATGCAGAGAGATTTTTGAAAGCAGATTTTAAACTCAATATCAAGTTCTGAATGGGGCCAACCATCTGATCCTATGCTGATCTACTGGAACCCACTCCTTATCAATCACAATAAAGTGGTAGTAAAATCTAAGACGACTCAATTCAGTACATTCAAGGTTAATGCAACAAAAATAATGAATCGTACCACTATACTTAACCCGTCAGAGGATTTTATAAATAAACTTATTAATTAATTACGAACAACCCCAAATTCTCTAACCTATAATAAAACTCTTAAAGCATACAAAATTATTCGTACAAAAATGAAATACAGTAAAGCATGGTATAACCAACACTCCGTGCATGATGCTCTTACTGTAGTATTTTTACGAAATACACATATTCTGAAAAAAGCAATTCACGTAACAATGACACTTCACACTGAAACGTCTGTCTTAAATGTAAAGTATTCAGCCAACAGCCATATGGAACTGACCTTTTTCTCATCTCGATTTACTATTTACGACAGACTCTCTGAAGCACATTAAACATTGTTTTCACACTAGCACATTACCAACGAGATTATTTATAAGATTTTGACACTTTTATAGTATGGTACTGTTATGCAAGAAACATTTAATGTACACGATCTTCGACATATTTCCACTGTTGATTCCCGAATCCTGATTCGGTAGATGAACGATACTATTGCCATCTTCTGGAAATATGGCAAACAGTTTTCTCAAATAGAAAATGTTCAACACAATTATAACCTCATTTCTCACACATTTATGTAAAAACTTGACAATTTCTTTTATATGAATTCATATGAAGGGCACTTTTTCCGAAACAACGTATTGAAACTGAAAGTCGACTTGTTTTTGATATTGATGTAAATTTTTTTATTGCTTCTAAATATGCAGGGTGAAACCCCAGCACTGGACCCAACAGGAAATAACTTGTCAACACATCCATTTGAACATCCTTCTGCACGTATCTAGTTCGATTGGCGTATATTAAGGAACTATCTTAGAAACGATGAGGAAAATCAGGACATCTTTTGTAACTGCCAGCAGTCAATGATTCAAATAGGGTGCTCTCACCACACACAAATATCTAAATGTCTTTTAAGATCTTACAGATTTGACCAATTTCATCACTGAATGGTCATGAGCAACAAGTATCAATATGCATATCTAAGAGAGATACCCAAAAATTCCTCTTCTAGCGCACAACTAAGTCAAGCATAATTTGTGGATTGGAAAGGGCAAGATTTTTATTGAAATAATGTAAGCTTATTTTGGACAATACATTTGCATTAGTGATTACTCTCCTGAGAGGGCTATTGCACTTTTAAAAATGTCAATATCACTTTATGTTTCGGTTTGAAAGATGTATTACTATAATTTTCACATCATTAAATTTTCATGTACAATGACCACCAACTGCAGTAAAAAAATTTGTGTTACAGCACCCTGTCATAGTAACAACTTTGCATTAATCTGAGAAAGTTAGTGCATAAGCACTAACTTTCTGGCTCTAAAATCCCCTATTTGCAGATTTTCTAAATAAGAATGTTTCAATTTGTAGGACAAATTTGAAATAAAACATATCAAATGAGTTATTCACTTACTGCAATGATTCGGAATAAGCTTCAATCAAAGGCCTACGTTAAAGACTATAGCTCTGTAAGGGCAGGGGGAAGTGCCTCTCAAATCAGAATGTTACATTTATGTTTGCAAATTAAAACTATACCTGATAACAGAAAGTTGTCATATTGAAGCTTGCCTCACATTCATGTAAATGTGATAATCTTCATACTATCCAGTTATTGGCATTGACTATGATTCCTATGTTTTGAAAGAGTGAAACTGTCCATTACAGTTAAGCCTTTTCTATGTATACTGCAAGTAACAAATTATGTTTTATGAGGGAAAAAGTTCTGATAAAGTTCCTAATCAGAGGCGAGAAGTTTGTATTATAAGTAATTCTCAGTTACATGCATTTTTTTTAGGTAAAGACAGAAGTTGCCATGTTATTTCCAAAACATTACATTTTTTAATACTGTGAGACTAATTAGTGAGGACACAGAATAATCATGACTGATTCTGTATGATCTGAGGCTTTCACAACAGCTAAATATAATGAGGTCTTGGGCTACCAGCCATGTCAGGTGAGTGAATGGAGAAAACACCAACGTTTCGAGTACTGAAGCACCCTGAGCACGAGGACGAAGATGGTTCTCAAAATGTTGGTGCTTTATCTATTCAACCGCCTGAAACGGTTGGTAGCCAAGAAGAATTCATGAAGACGGATTACTTTGATATCTATCTCTGGGAACAATTTTTACACAAAGAAAGAGGCAAGAAACCAGAATCCTTATAGACTGCATGTACAATAACGCTGCAAGTAAGTCAAGACTATACTTGAATGTATGGCAGTGACTTCTTATTGAGAGCTTAATACATATTAGTATGAAGTAATGGTATCAACTATAACACTCCTACAAATCTACAACAGCTAAAACTACTGTACCTTAATAAATGTGATTCTTAAGACAAGCATGTAGTAAAACAGGAACTGATGTAAAATAAATGCAAATCCAGTCACATATTCTAAAATAAACATTTTATAAAAATGATATAAAATTACAAATTTCTTTTAAAACCTTCATAGATAAAAGGTATGACTATGTAGTGAAATTAAATGTAAATAAAAGCTCACCGAAAGTGTAAGATCACTGTAATATCTAACGCTGCACAACCTGATACCAACACCAGAGCCCAAAATGAAGTTGCTATACAATGAAAAGTGACAATTATTTAACCAAAAATCAGTAAATGCAGCTGACCGTCGTCTATACAAATACTCATTTCACTACAAATGAAGCTCAACAAAATTTATGCATGTAGTTGAAATTTTTTATTATTTTGACATCACGTGGTTTTGTTAGTGCGGCCCATCATAAATCACATTTGACTACTCTACTGTACATATAAAATGTATGACATTACTTCCTTTTCTAGATACCTGGTCACTGTCTGCATGCTCAGTATTAAAGAGAAAGAGGGAAAGGTTGTTCACTATCAGGCAAGGAAGTGGACCTGTGGGGCATGAAATTAACATGAAGGGATGGCAGTGCAATGATGTCTCCTCAACCATCCCCAAAAGAAACAGTAATTCATTTCATAATATTTTTGTCCCTAAAAATGGATTGACATTTGGTAATAATCAGAAAGGCATACAAAGCTTCTGCATTCACCACAGATATATCTGACTCCAGGAAATCTTGTCAGTATCACCATATCTACAAACGCAGATTGGTAAAATTCATTGCAAGCCGGTCACACCATCTGTTAAATCAAACAACTTTCTGGCTGTTTCTAAATTCATCATCCATTTTTAAATTTGTATTTGTACATAAAATAAAATGAAGCTTAATGTGGGGATGATGGGGATCTCTTTTGTTTTAAAATTATTGGTGCAGTGTCCTCAACACACAAAACACACTATCTTACAGTCCCAGTCATCCACCCCAGTTCATCATGACGAACTGCTGTTGTCACCATTGTCATGATAACTGTTTCCATTCATCACAAATGATGTACCAAGCCCATACAGATGGCCACAGTACTTTGCATCGTCGATGTTATCTTCAAAGAACATCTGCAGAATGGGAAACAAGAAAAGAAATAGTTAGTATTTTATTGATGAAAATAAGGCAGCTACGGAAGATACAATAAAATACCATTATAACATCAGTTCACAAAGTTCATACAAAATCACAGTATAATGAATACATGTTGTGGATAATTAAAAATTTCAGATTATAAAAATGTATTCCAGAATCAAACTTCAGTTTATTTCATAGAACCATTTATACCACAATAAGTTTAAATATATACACGTTTTGAAGCAGTGTATTTATCTTATTAACAACTAACACTCAATTTTATTGTTGTTCAACCAATACGGACATTTAAGAAATTGGTATTTGCTACAAAACACATATCTCATTATAATCTACAACATTTACTGCATTATTCATCAATATGGTAAAACTGACAAGAACATGTTTGGAAAGAATGTTTTCTCCACTACAGTACAGCTTTCTGCTGTTATTACTGACCTCTCGCATTTTGAAGAAAGCCATTCCAGTGAGGAGGGAGTCACTGCCTGCCTGATGTTGTGGCCCGATCCTTTCCAACTCCAGCTGATCTGCTACTTCTTGCAACCCACCCTTCAAGTTCTTGCAGCTTTTCATAAGATACTGGAAGATAATTATCAGAAAGTGCTTATGAAACATTAAGGCATTATATGTCATGTTTTCAGCTGATTATTATGTTTTAAGGCCCATCGGCTATGTAGTGCCAACATTATTTGTGTTAGCTATATATATATATATAAAAGTTTTGATATAACAACTGGATAGTTCGGTTTTACCAAAGAAAATAAATATGGATGCTTAATGTCATGTGTTTCCTGGTGAAAGGAATTAATGTTTCTTCCTGCAACAAATCAGCTTGAAAATCACAACACACTTATTATAGAATCAACATAATGTGCAATTATTCAGTTTTAAACATTTGAAAGCAAGCTTCTAGAGCAAGAGTGACGATCAAGTATGATGTTCAGATTTCACGGCAAATGCCCACCTCGTTGGCAATGTCTTTTGACTTTGTGGCATCTGCTCAACTTGTCAAGAGCAAAGAATTCACTTTTGAGGTGGTAATTGATACACTACAATTCAAAGGCCTGGTAATCCTCATATTCAGTCTTGAATTTGTCACAGGCAAGGAACACAGAAAACATCGTAAAACATTCAAACTCAGAACTTCATCCCTTGACTGCAGGTCTGTTATCCTCATTATTAAAACTGATAGTTTTATTAGTCTGCGTACCAGCCTGACAGTTGTTGAAATTTATCAAAAAGTCTTTGCTTACTTACCTGTTAATAAACTTTTGAAATAATCAGATTACTTACAACACATTTAATTAAATTATACAGCAACCTTACATTAAGAAAATGCAACATTTTGTTTCACTGACTAGATGACTCACTTTAACGTCATACACAGTCGGAAAATATATCCTCAGCAGCTCAAAGAAATCGCTCTCCTCATGCGGGAGGTTCTGATCCGTCAATAACTTCAGGAGGTAGCCAAAGTCATAACCGCTAAAACAGACATAAACAGTAAGGGTTAGATAAAGCGAGAGTTGCACAGGTACATCTCTCAAACTCCCATTAGCACTATTTATTACAAAATTTCTTTCTGGAGAAAGTTAGATAGGGTGGAGACAATGAAAGTACATCTCATGCAAGGGAAAAACAAGTCAGAAAATATATCTGACCTTTGCCCTCTGTAAATGGCCCGGGAATTAACCAGTCGGGTATTCCCCAAAAGGGAATTCCAAAGCCAGTCAACTGGAATTCAGAAACAAATGCAGGAATTCTTATGAACTGCCTAATACAAAATTCTATGAAAACGTCTTCACTTATTCTAGAGTTGTTTCATATACGCAGACAAATAAACAGACAAAACAATTTCAGGGATGCAAACATGCCTCAGAAAAAGTGTCCAAGCAGATCAATCAAAGTCGAGAAAGTGGAAAATACCACCCATCATGAAGATTCCTTTCACTGACCTATGAAATGATAACCACTTTATGTTGTCCATAAGTACAATGCCTGATGTCATGAGGAGTTCGGCAAAGTCCAAAGGATCAATCCCTTCTTCCTCGTGTTTCTTGAACTGAATTCCAGAATTTTGGAGCAGATCAATGCTGTCTTGTGCATACATGTCTTCTCTGTAAGAAAACAATAGCCTATGTAATTTATAGTGGCCTGGATGTGAGAAAGAGAAAAGAAGAACTTCAGAATGCAAATATATATCCGTAGACAAAGCTTCATCGAAACCCACGTTTATAAATTCAGGCAATGGAACCATATTCTGCTGTCCATTATTATGCATTCATTACATAAACTGAACACATACGAAGGAGGATACATCTGCTCAGCTAAATATTTCATCTCTGAAACTAGCAAACTAATTCTGGCTGAATTTGGTATTGCATTTTATGCTGAAAGCTGCCAGACAAATTTAATTTTGATTTGTACTGTTCAAACCTTCACTGAAAACAGAGGACAATGTATCAGATGATCCTTCACACCTAGTGCCTCTGTAACAGAACGTGAGGGTGTTGTAAAGAAGCCTTTAAAGAGTATCAGTGAGCAGTAAGTCACTGTAAAGTAAGTGGTAGAAATACAATTTTACTTACGATAAGTTAAATTTAAAATTGAACTGCCATGTAGTGTATGATCCACCTGGTGTCTTGCCATTCTCATCCAGAAAAGTCAGGCCAAGCTGAATAATTCTCAAAAGGTCTACATTACAGCGTAGCAGCTGGTACTGATAGTCAGCAGTGCTGCGAAATTCTCCAATTGGCCGAGCCACCACTCCAGGGAATTCAGTGTCCTAAAAACAAAAACAAAACAGAAAGTAAACTTGATCTAAAGCTTTCATGGAGACGAAGTATAATAAATTCTTCTCAGGTTACCAGTCGCGTAAGGTGGCTTACTGAAGAAGTCACCAATGTCTTGAGAACCATCTTCGTCCTCATCCTCAGGGGACGAGGACAAAGATGTCACTTTCTTTTTACAAAGTAAAGTTATCCAGTACTTGGATGCGGCCCAAACACTTTAAAAGAGAGGAGGGAAAAAGAAATCTGCTTCCTCAAAATTTCAATATGTTCAGCACATACTTACCATTGCAACATAGTGGTACTTCTGAACAACCTGACGGATGGTTCGGAATTCTTCTTCCAAGTTGTGGCCCCATACATCTCGAATCCCACACTCTTCATTACTCGGGATGTTGGCATGACCACTGTGTGAGCTACTGCTGCCTGCATCAAAATTTAAAAAAAAAAAACCCTCTTTTAATAGACTTAACACCTAGGCATGGGTAAGTGAACAAACAAGAAGCTCTAAAACAAGTTATGATGATACTTTACTTACTTTGACCACAATAGCCCAGCACCAGTCAATATCATGAGCCACATGAATCAAATCCACAACTTTCCATTCTATTTCCTTAAAATTCATTTTAATATTATTCTCCAATCTGTGCCTAGGTCTTACAAATGGCCTCCTCCTTTAGGCCTTCGAACCAAAATGCTGTATGCATGTCATCTCCCTCATGTAAGTAACATGACCATAACAATACTTGGGAAGATTACAAATTATGATGCAACTCATTACCCATTTTCTATCAGTTTTGTATCACTTCATTCATCTTGGTTCAAATATTCTCCTCAGAATCCTGTTCTCAAACACCTTCAACCTGTGTTCTCCCCTAAACACAAGAGACCAAGATTCACACCCACAACTAACTAACTAGATGGCTTATCGAACCCGAAGGTTCATCACCGAATTAACCAAAGCCCTCCACCGGTCCCTGTCCTGGGCCAGCAAAATCTAGTCTCTTCCAACTCCTATCTCCCATAGATCCCACCTGAGATTATCCTCCCATCTACGTCTACGTCTACCCAGCGGTCTCTTCCCCTCAGGCTTCCCGACCAATACATGGTGTACAAGATTCACGTCCACACACAAAAAAAGGCAAAATTACTGAATCAGCAACTTAAATACAAAAGTAATATGTACCTGTCGCTGTGGGCATGGCAGAACCGCACCCCAGTTTCTCCAAGAGGTGAGTGGCCCAGTTCACATTGGTTGCCCGAGCCAGACTTTTGCCTCTGTCCACACCACTCTTGTCAAACAACACAAACTATAACAAAAAGAAAGAGGAAATTGTGCTGTAAAGTAGAAACACATAAAAGCCATGGATGAAAAGCTTCTAATCTATATTACACTTCAAAAATAAAGGTCTTATGTTATAAGTTAATGTTATCATAGTCTCCAATTTCTGTAACACATATCCTAACTCTTCATAAATGACTCAAAGGATTTAACATTACTGCTAAAAGCAGGGGTGAACAAGTACTGAGTCAATTCACCAGTGAGACATGAATTCTAATTGCCTGACATTTTCTCAACAGAGAAAACAACAGCCACACCACTTTAATTGTTCACTCTACTTCAAAATGCAAAATATACAAGGCATAAAATACTGTGAACAATCATTAGTTAACAAATAACTGGTTATAAATAGCCTTAACTTCAAATTTAATTCTTTCTGGGTTAGAATCAGAATTCAAGTTGGTCCATATAAGAAACTATGTGTAATACACTTTTATAGAGAGTACTTTTATTTAATAATAAAGCTACAATAAAAATGCATGATAGCTAGAAGATAACAATAAGCACTGTGCACAATTTACCTTGAAGTTAGTAAAATACAATTTGATTTGCATTTAACAAGACAGAGAGAGAAAAACATGCAAAATATATATTTACTCTGACATGAAGTTAGTCCCACAGAAATGTAATCTGTACAAACTATAACAGTGCCAGAAGAAGAATAGGACTACAACAGCGATGAAGAAAAAGAAATATAAATTGTAAATAGATTTCAGGTGTTGGTACTGTCAGTTAGTTTATGAAATACCAATATAGTATTATTCCAAGTACAAGAATAATGAACAACAATAAACGTTCAAGTTCCATAACATGCATGGAACTTCTTGACCACCTAAGTGACTACCAGCTTATCAAGAAATAATGCTCAAAACTTGCTATGCAATTCTCAATATACATCTGCCCACTTTGTGTATTCACAATGCAAGTCCAGTCAAAATAATGATAAACCTGATAATAAGCTGGAAGAAATAAGTTTGTGGATTACTGCAACCAGTTCCTGCAAGCAACATCAGTTTTAATTATCAAAATACAATTTGCTGTACCTTTTCCTTTCCTTTATTCAGTTCGCAGTGGTTGTTATCTGGTTTCTTTGGTGTCTCCACAATTACTGCAATGATACTCACATCACAACCATGCAACAGTTTCATTGGTTAGTATATGAACCTGAAAGACAAAGAGCTCGAACTGATGATCACAAGGAGGCAGTCATTAAACAAGTTACATAAGAAACATTGCACACAATGATATAAAGATCATAATAATAAAGGTAATGTAAAGAACCGATCCTCTTAACCTCATTTGGCATTAAATTCCTTCGATAAAGCAATGCAAACAGCATCATATAGAATAAGTCACTGTTTAATTTATTAAAACAAATTCTTAGAAAGCAATACACTGTTGAGACAACTAAATTATAACACGTAAAATGTACTGGAGGTATATATGTATATTTAAAGCAACCTTGGAGGTTGGAGTAGACGCCTTACATCAAGAGTTGTGTTTCACACACACCAAAACTTGTTTTGTATCAACCTCTTTGAACAATGCATCAAACAGAAATTAAACACAATCAAAATCACACTTACGAACCTGTCATTGCACTAATGTAAATTATATTTCACTTTCTTATTGATTAGATTATTAATTTTGCAATTCCTCCCGACAGACGAATACAGTACCCAACTACCACAGATAATATAACTAATGACGTCACAGATATTTAACATAATGCAGAGTCGTCGATACATCGAACAAGTTGGAAAACTTTCGATGGCATGCCCATCAGTTCCATAAGTCTCTCCAAAGATGTCACTGTATCGATGAAATACTGTTGGTCTCTTTTGATCTTCGCCATAAGATGTCTCCGTATGTAACTATTTGAAGATAGTATGACGTTCAAAACATAAACTAATCACATCACACGAAATATAATTGATTAATTTATGGATGTTTTGAAGAAATTAGATTTTTAAGCGTTCTTTGAAAAAACAATATGAAATGATTGGGGAGGCAGTGTCAATCAGCATGTTTTATTTCCAAAATTATTAGACGGATTTCGATAAAATTTGGCACTGGAACCATATTCATTGTTTGCCACGTGACAGGAAAATACCTTGGAATTAATATTGAACAACTTTTCGACGTGGTGAAAATTTAACAAAGTAAAATGGAAAATAATTATAACACTCTGCATGACTTGCATTAGACTGTTAAAAAAATTAGAACACACGCTCATCTTGTATGATATCCGCTTTCAATTGCACAGCCTGGCGTGAGATTTCCGATAGCTATCTGCTTCATTTTCAGGAAGAATGGTTTCTCAAGTTACATTATATTGTAACACGATTTAATACAATTACAGACGTTAGTGCTTCTGACAGACAGACGGACAAAACTACAGCTATGGCTACAGATTAGGGGGTAGGAACATTGGAGTGACATTAATGACAACGTTTCGGAAAGGAGCACGATGGCTTATTTAAACAGGTCATGACACCCCTGGTATTCGCCCAAGAAAACTGTAAAACCTCACTCAGGTCAGCCAAGGTTCGAACATGGTACCACAAAGGTAGACTATTCCCACTACCTCAAACCGCCTAGTCAGCGGTCTGTAACTACGTACCTTCTCACCACTTGTCGAGAACCACAACATCACGTAGTTAAACAGTATAACTAGAGTTTACTGGTAGTGGCATTAATAATGTAGGGCTTGATGCCAACAGTTAATTTTGTACTTGAACGCAGGCGCGCGCAGGACGCAACCCGCTTGGCTCCTGAGCGTGCCAAGCTCTTGCTTCAGTGTGTGGCAGTTTCCTGAAGCCGCTGAATGGACCAACTTCTCGTTAACAAAAATCACTGAAAATTCTCGTGTGATATCACGTGTTCGATCCATCTTACAGCAACACAGGAGAAACAATGGCGCGAGGCTGTTTTACATGCGTGTGTACACACAAGATCACGTGAACGGTACGTAACCATAATATGAAAATATATTTAATATAGTTTTTAGGGCGTATTAACTTCTCTGTAGAGCCAACGTCTTAAACAAGGGACAAATAACATCCGTATATCCATTGTTTACAAGGTTTAGAATCACACGAATCAGGTTTCACGTTCGACTTTAAGATAAGCATCTTTCCCATCTCAGATTTTCAATGGTAAATAAATTACTTTTATAAGTCACAAATTATGTTATTGAAAAGTACCAAATATTAAATGCCCAGTTTCTAAAGACGACCGTCAATGAATGCACTGCTGAGTCTTATAACTTTATTTTTCACGTTAATTTTATAATGACAGTGACGAATTGCACTCTTAGTAACGGAGTTGTGTTCAAGTGAAATCGAAGGATATTCTTCTTTGTAGACACACGTTTATTTTTAACCAAAAATTAACATTGCTCTTTCCCACGTCAGACAAACGCAACTGAGTGGTATGCATCTGTATCTGCCCAGTGCTTAATTTCTTACTGTGACCAGCCTGGCGACTGTATTCAAACTGACTGTATGTTAGTTATTCGAAGTGTGCGGAAAGCACTTCATTGCCGAAAATCCACTAGAGTGTCAAACAGCAAATTAGAGGGTTGATCTGTAAGTGTTGTACCATAATTTTTTGAATATTACCTGTTATAATATATGTTTATTCTGGGTAATATTTCTGTTTACAAATCAACGCCTGGAATTAAAATTTAGCTATTTACGCGGATGACTACAGTAACAGCACCCCCCACCCCCCCCCACCCCCCAAAAAAATGGAGCTATAAGTGGTTTCTTTCCTGGAAAGGTTTTACTTGTTAACAAGGAAGTTGTCTTTACAGTCTAGTAGCATGGCGTTTTATCGAACTTGGTTATAATGTTTAGGTTTACATATGAACTGCCACAGATGTTGGCGCTTTATCGGGGGCAACCTTTTAAAATGACATAGGAAATTTTTTTCAGAGGATTTTATGGGCACAATGCGAGGGCAGCGGTATATACAGGAGACCTGTATAGAGGACTGACTGAATTCAAGTTCATGATCATAAAACTGTATAATTTGTTGATGTTGTGTGTTGTAACGCCATATGGACTTGCAGATGGATACAAATGTTCCTGAGGAACAAATTGCCTTCATCTTCAGCCCAGAGACGCTGGTATCTGTCTAGAAGTCCATGCGATATTAAAATCCAGAAGACCAAAAAAATATATGCAATAAATGTCAAGTTCATTTAAAAAAATGTCTTCACGAACTGGGCAATTCAATGCCTATAGAGACCTCAAAATGCAATTTAAAGTCTCTGGGGGCATTTCTCTTTCTCCAACAGTAATTTTATAAATTGGCTAGCTAAGATCTTGTTTTTATTGTGAGAATTTGGGAATAACGGGATAAATTTGTACATTAAATTGTCATTTTGTGTTGAGTAGAATAACCTGGCAGAAATAAATCACTTGTAAAGCCTAGGTGCAGATAAGAAAACAATATTAAAACGGATGTTGACATATGGCGAGAGGAAGTGAACTGGATTAATCTGATTCAAAATAGGACCCACAAACTGAGCGACTACTAACTTCTCAGGAAGGACTAAGATGTATGGAATCAGTATACTTGCTGCTTTTTCAAACATTCTTAGCTTCCCTGACACGCCATAGACAGCGGGAACTTATTCCCACCTCAATTTTCCTACGAACTGAGCATATATACCCAGTTTAATTCTAAACAAGCATCAGCTTTAAAAAAAGTAATTTGATCAGGAAAGGGTTAAATATTATTTTAAAGCTTCAATTCGAACGTATTCGTGTGAAATGAATGGTGTGTCAAAACGCGTCTGGAAACCAGGAGTGGATTTGGAAACGCAGTTGGTTTCAGCGTGGGTTTGTGGTGTAGCAACGCCACATTAATCGGATTATTAGGTGGCCATTGAATCACGTACCGTATTTCACATCTCTGCAGCGTGTTAGGACTAACAATGCTGAAGAACGAAATTACGCAGACCGAAGCTTCAATGCCGAGGCAAATTTAACAAATTGTTGTACTCTGTTTACACATTTAGATGCACAAGACAATCACGAACATCCGATAATCTCCGCCCCTCCGCGATTCAAACCGGAAAATCGTTTCTGGCTTCTGCTGAGTTGAACGGCGAAACCTGAGTTTAAATATTTCAGGTTAGAAACCAATATGGACTTCCTGCGATTACAGATTAAGGTTCCACGGAAATGGAATGTTTACAACAAGTGAACATCCATCGTGGAATTGATTCACTAGTCGAGAGCTAGAATTTCAATTGGCGATGTTCGAGGAAGCCTTCCTGTTCTCTTGCTTGATGACCTATGCCCTGGACCTGAACTGAATGGATAACGGACTCTCAAACTTTGCTTTTCAGCAAACAACTCCACGTACTACAGTCCTTCCTGCGAAGCTGATAGTCGATAATCAAGTATCTACCATTCTCAGGAAAGCCCACCACTGGACCCTATCTTAAGTCCGTTGCATCCATTCCTCATCCAAACTGTTTAAAATCCATTTTAATAGTAATTTCCGATTTACGGCTAGGAATACACAGGCCGATAAATAAAGTAGTCTATTCCCTTTAGGTTTTATTATTAAAATTGTGTTTGCGTTTTTCGAGTCCTGTATTCGTACGGCATTTCCTGCCCATATAATAATCACTGGCTGATTGAATCACCACACGATATTCAGTGAAGAGCACAGTTTATGAAGCTCCTCATTTTGTATAATTTCCTATTGTTACGTCACTGCCTCTCGTTTAGAGATCGTAACTGAAAACCAAACGGTTGTAGACATTGTAGATACAATTCTATATATAACTATGACGTCAGAAAAATCATAATACACGGTGGGGACACAGCGTTGGTATAATAAGACTACGAATCGAAAAGTAGATTAAACATTTCTCTCTTGGATCATGGATGTTCGCGTTTTTCTCTGCTGTGTTGTGATGGACCGGCGCCCAGTCCAAAGATTCCCAAGAAATATTCCGAAGGATTAAATGAATCAGAATTAATTCTGAATCTGAAGACGACAGCCCTAATCAAAATAATCCCAACTGTTTAGCTGATTTCGGAAGAGATTTAATTGCACAATCGAAGTCTGCATCATCTTCCCGTCCAAGTGTTATCTAGGCCCATCCGCATAACACGCGGCTTTAAAATTCCGTGCTTAACCTAATTTCGATTTCTCCTCTGCACGTTTCTACTCAGCAAGGCTCGCAATTATGCTGTAAATGTGATGTTGTCCACTACATATTACGCACGACGTTTCGGGAGTTTAACTCTGCCCTTGTAAATCAGGTGATTAGGTGTCATCAGATTGACAGATATTATATTTTTAGATATTAATATCATTACTTGGGATTCGTCCGGCAATACTTTAAATATTACGTTCGAAGTTTAATATGTGCATGTATGTAGGCAACACTTTCCTAGAAGCCGGCTTTATTTCCATCTTCAGATATTGGTCATTATTATAACAGCACATATTTTATATATTGCTTGTTTTACCTTTTATGTTTTACTGTGTTTGTGAGTTTATCTCTGTGCTGTATCTGTAATTGGCCACCAGGCTGTTGATACAGCACAGAAATAATAAAGAATTGAATTAAATTGAAGAATTGAATTGAATTTTCCCAAACTCTTCTTTTATTTTAAGTATTTTGATTGAGGCTGGAATTGATCACAGAGCAATTAGATTATTAAATAAAATTTCGGAAATTTTGTTCTAAACCGTCTTCAAATGATTTGTGTGATTAGGACGACAATTCAATCATCATCTGCCAAGAACGTATATGAACAGGTCCCAGTCCGAGAAAAGGATGGAAGGATCCTGTTCATATGGACCTGTCGTCAGACAGAACACTAAATAATAATAACAAGCTCAGAAAAACCATAAATCGTATGTCATGATGACTAGTATTCTGAAAGAGGTCTGAACCGATAGAGCCGTATGTAGTTATGGACAGACGGTTTTGTTTGAAGCAAATAAAACACTTGAATAATGGAGCATGCCGGCACATACATCGCGGTAAATGGTCGGCGACGTCAACCTCTCGCCTTTGGTCTCTGACCTCCTGTAAGGTTTCTGGAGCGTTCTCACTAAGCTGGGCAGCCAACGGCGGTACTGTACAAGGAAACCCATTCAATTTCCAAACAGACCACCATCAAAGCGACCCTACCTCTCGTTATAGAGAAGTGTTCTCATTTTCAGAATGTCTATGGTAGAAGACATACAGGCATTTGTCGGACAGAAACAAATGACTTCCAACCTGTTTAACCAAATCACATTATCGAAATGTGAAGTCATATTATTCCTAAATTAACGAGCCATTTTGTATAATTAAAAATGATTATGAATATAACACACATGGGGAGGCCAGCTATATAATTTGAGTACAACAATTTGGTCCGAAAATCCCATAGATGGTGCTGTTTGGGAAATATAAGCGTAAATCGGAAGGTAATATTAAAATGTATCTTAAATAATAGTGGACTGGATTCAACTGGCTTATCATAGGGAGCAGTAAACACAGCAAGGACCTACTGGGTTCCACATAAAGCGAAAAACTTCACGATCATTATCTTCTGAAGAAGGACTTGGCCCCACGCAGTTAATTAGTTATAAACAGAGTGACTACCTTACTGTAATTATTTTTCAATTTAAACACCAAAACTGGGATTTATGTTTACATTATAATTATGTGTCATGTATATCTGTAACGGCTAATGGAGTGATTTGCGAATATTGGCTTTATAAGCGTGAAACATTTTTTTTACGTGTTGATTTTAAAAGCCCAGTTCCTTTCTGAGATATGATAACTGATCATGCAAACGTCATTAGAACTGAATAACAAAGTAACAATAATAATTGTCATAATTTGGGCGAAAACACGTGCGTGCGTGTGTGCATGTGCGTGTTTTTTTTTAACCAGTGTAGTGCTTTCTGCAGAGCAGCCAGGCGATAAGGTTTCTAGC